ATCTCAAAGCTCCCTGCTTGAGCAGTAATGGCATGATCATCAGCATAGATGAAACTCTCTGTTCCTTCTGGCAGTTGCTGGTCATTTGTGTAAATGTTGAACATGGACGGAGCAAGCACGCTCCCCTGAGGCAGGCAGAACTCAGGATAACCAAGAAGGAATGGACTTTTGAGTGAAAAGACTATCTTCCAAGTCTAGATCCTGGAAACCGATCAAAATAAGTCCGGCACCTTGTTCCTTTTTGCTAAGTGTGTGCCTGTTTTTGCACCTAGCTTTAGTGGATGTATCCTTGGGAGTGTATGGATCTAACAACCCTAAAATTAGTCACCTGACCCCAACAAATTGAGGTCGAAACAGCATTTCAGGGCGATGGATCGCCCCCTCCTCAGGAGTCTTGGCTTTGTTTCTACTAGTTAGCCTCAGGCAGGATCCAGTTTCCCTCTTGCTATCTTCACGCTCTCCCTGGTGCCTGCTTGGGGGGGGGGGGGGGGTGCGGTGGACTGACGGACCGAAGAGAAGCAGCCCTGGAGACAATTGGCTGCTTGTAATTTCTTCATTCTGCTTGGGATGACAGCTCCTGGGCCACACGATCTCTTCGTGGGGGAGATGATGGGATCTCAGGAGCCCCCAAGACTCCATTTGCCTGGATCCCGTTTGGGACGGAGAGGCGGCGTGACATGGCAGCAAGACACCACGGGCACCTGGATACGGAGACTCGAAGCGGCTGGTGAGCGTTGCCTTGGCTGGGCGGTTGATGCTGGTGTGAAGGTGGTGGGAAGGCATGGAAGAGGCAAACTGTTCAAGGCAGGTAGAGATCAGATGTGAAAACTACATACACATATATGAGTAGTGATAAATTAACTGTTATGGCTGGAGTCACTCTGACCATTGGAAAGTTAATGTATTGTCGAAGGCTTTCATGGCCGGAATCACTGGGTTATTGTAGGTTTTTTCGGGCTATATGGCCATGGTCTAGAGGCATTCTCTCCTGACATTTCACCTGCATCTATGGCAAGCATCCTCAGAGGTAGTGAGGTGCCTCTGAGGATGCTTGCCATAGATGCAGGCGAAACGTCAGGAGAGAATGCCTCTAGACCATGACCATATAGCCTGAAAAAACCTATAACAACCCAAACTTAAAGTTAGTTTAAGAAAGTACTTCATTTTCTTTAGCATATTGTTCATACATTACTCTGGCACTGCTAGCTGAACAGAATATTTATTATTTTTAAACGAAAACCTGTTTAGCAGAAGTGAAAGTATGTCAGTGTACACACAATCTGTTTTAAACCACCTTCTTCAATTCTTCTGGGGATTGAGGTGGAAGGAAGCCTGTATTATTTCTTTCTGGCCAATTTTAGTGGGTGGTTATAAAGGTACTCCCCTCTCAAATGGCTTCCTTCTTGGGAAATAAAATATAACCTATTGAATGAGGCCTTCCTTTATAATTTAAACAATTAATAACAATTAATAGTTCTGTTCATTCGTCAGGTATGTACTGTTTTAACACATACCAGTAATTCAAGATAGTATATTGACTTACATTCAACGAGGCTTTATTATAATATGCAGATGTTATTCTATCAATAGAAATGTCAACGGATGCTTTGACTACGGGTGCCACATTTAATTGATTGATAGCCTCCATTCCAAAACCAGCATGGCTGAAAGCAGGAGTCGAACAGTACTAAGGCCAGTACTCATAACATCCAATCACATGAGATCTGGCTTTAGACCAAGGCTCAGGTGCTGACTTTGCAACCCCCCACCCAAAGGTGTGGGATCCAACACCTATGGCAGGGGTTCTCAAACTTTTTAAACAGAGGTCCAGGTCACAGTCCCTCAAACTGTTGGGAGGGCTGGATTTGAAAAAAAACATGAATGAATTTCTATGCACATTGCACACATCTTATTTGTAGTGCAAAAAACACTTAAAAACAATACAATAATTAAAATGAAAAACTATTTTAACAAATATAAAGTTATTGCTATTTCAGTGGAAAGTGTGGGCCTATTTGTGGTTGATGAGATAGGATAGTTGTTGTTGTTGTGCGCTTTCAAGTAATTTCAGACTCAGGTTGACCCTGAGCGAAGGCCGGGTAAATGACCTTGGAGGGCCGTATCCGGCCCCCGGGCCTTAGTTTGAGGACCCTTGACCTATGGTGTGTGTCTGCTGAGGTGTATGTGTTGCTTTGTAAAAAATAACTAGAACTAGACTCCCATTGCCGTAACAATTATCCGGTATTGATCTGTCCCTTCCTACTTACCTACATAATAATAATAATAATAATAATAATAATAATAATATTTTTGTCGTGTCACTCCTGGTGTGAGAGAATTGGCCATCTGCAAGGGCATTGACCAGGGGACGCCTGGATGATTTGATGTTTTTATCATCCTTGTGGGAGGCTTCTCTCATGTCCCCGCATGAGGAGCTGGAGCTGATAGAGGGAGCTCATCTGCCTCTCCCCGGATTTGAACCTGCGACCTATCGGTTTTCAGTCCTGCCAGCTCAGGGGATTAACCCACTGCACCACCGGGGGCTCCAATAATAATAATAATAATAATAATAATAATAATAATAATAATAATAATCTTTAGTTATACCCCACCACTATCTCCCCAGCAGGGACTCAGGGCGGCTTACATGAGGCCAAGCCCAACAGCATATTACAATAAAATAAAAACCAAAGCTCAAACAACAACACAGTAAAATACATATGAGTACAGTAAGCCTTGGACTGCAAGAAGATCCAACCAGTCCATACTTCAGGAAATAAAGTCCGACTGCTCATTGGAGGGAAGGGTAGTAGAGGCAAAGATGAAGTACTTTGGCCACATCATGAGAAGAAAGGAAAGCTTAGAGAAGACAATGATGCTGGGGAAAATGGAAGGAAAAAGGAAGAGGGGCCGACCAAGGGCAAGATGGATGGATGGCATCCTTGAAGTGACAGGATTGACCTTGAAGGAGCTGGGGGTGGTGATGGCCAACAGGAAGTTCTGGCGTGGGCTGGTCCATGAGGTCACAAAGAGTCGGAAATGACTGAACGAATGAACACAACAACAGTAAGCAATATAAAAATACAATACAAAATCAATCACAATGACAATGAACGGGCTGCATGTGCTAGATAAAATACTAAAAACTCAGGGTGAGATAGGAGTGGAGCAGATTATTTGTGAGGGAGAAGCTCATAAAGATATGTGGTCTACCTACTTATCTATCTACATACATACCCACAGCTGCACGGTCAGAAGCCTTATCCAGGGGCGCTGAAGGACGGTCTGCCACTTCTTTGAGGACCACCAACCCCAGCAAAATCTTTTGGAACCAGCAACAGCTTCACCGGGAATTGCTCTTCACACACCGCAAGTACGGCACAGAACTATTTTCCCCTATTGCTGTTTGAAAGGGTCCTTGTGTAGGTTGGCAATGGATTTCAAAGGAACCATGGGAAATTTGATGTTTGTATCACAGCTCCCAGTATAGCCATTAACCATGACCAATAGAAAATACTTAAGACCATCCAGTCCAACTTCTCCAGGGCAAGAAAACGTAATTAAAGCCCTCCTGACAAAGAGTCATCCAGGCATAGATATAGTTAGATATATATGATTCACACACGCAGACATAGTATCATAGATTTGAAAGGGACCCCTAAAGAAGGACAATGACATGTTGCATGTTCCAGAGTAGGCAAACCAGACATTCTCTACATCAACACTGACAAAGAAACAGCAAGAAATACTGTTTACCCACAAGCAAAAAGAAATTAAATATATTAGAAACCAACACTTTCTCATTACTTTGTTTTCCAGATCACCAGACTGGGCCACAGCATCGTGTGGCAGGGGGTGGCTAGCATTTTCATAAAACTGTAATTTAAGACAAGACTTGCCCAACTCTGATTAAACCTTTATTGTAAACTTCTTCAATGTAAATGTGCTTACGTATCCTCCCAATAATAATAGAGTAAAATAATAAATATAATAATAATAATAGAGTAAATTAATGGAAATGCAATAACAGTAATAATAGAGAAAAATAATAAATGTAATAATAGCAATAATAATGTAAAATAATGAATGTAATAATCATAATAAATAGTCTGACTTGGCCACGGTAGTCCACGCTCTGGTTACATTCCGCTTAGATTACTGCAACGCTCTCTACGTGGGGTTGCCTCTGAAGACTGCCCATGGAGAAGGCCCTCTCCCTCGTCCCCACCAATCGCGCTTGCGAGGGGGATGGGAGCGAGAGCAGGGCCTCTCCAGATGAACCAAGTCCAACACTCGGCAGCCAGATTACTAACGGGTGCTGGGTACAGGGAGCACACCACTCCGCTGTTACACTAGCTCCACTGGCTGCCAATTAGCTTCCGAGCACAATTCAAAGTGCTGGTGTTAACCTATAAAGCCCTAAACGACTCCGGCCCTGTTTACCTCTCCGAACATATTCTCCCCTACGTACCATCAAGATTACTAAGATCGTCTGGAGAGGCCCTGCTCTCGGTCCCACCGGCCTCACAAGCGCGCCTGGTGGGGACGAGGGACAGGGCCTTCTCGGTGGTGGCCCCGCGACTCTGGAACTCTCTCCCACTGGAGGTCAGAACCGCCCCGTCTATCCTGACATTCAGGAAACGGGTGAAGACGTGGTTGTGGAGACAGGCTTTCGATGAATGAGACAGCACCCTAGGATTGTGGATGGAAGATGAGGTATACTTGTTTTTAATATGACGACTGACCACCGTAGTTTTAAATATAGTTGTTATTTTAAATGTGTTATTGTAATTATGAACGATGATATTTTACTGATTGTATGTTTTTATGGTTGTAAACCGGGCTGAGTCCCTCTAAGAGGTGAGAAGCTCGGTATAGAAAACTTTGAAATAAATAAATAAATAAATAAATAAATAATAGAGTAAATTAATGGAAATGTAATAACAGTAATAATAGAGTAAAATAATAAATGTAACAACAATAATAATGTAAAATAATGAATGTAAAAATCACAATAAATAGAGTAAAATAATAAATTTAATAATAACAATAGAATAAAATAATAAATGTAATAAAAGAATACCAATAACAGAGTGAAATAATAAATAACCGTGACTTGAGTATAAGCCGAGGGGAGCTTTTTCAGCCTTAAAAAGGAGCTGAAAAACTAGGCTTATACTCGAGTATATACAGCAATCAAAAGCCATTAATCCTACTAGGTGACTTAAGTAAGTCATACTCTCTCAGCTTCAGAGGACGGCAATAGCAAACATCTTCTGAACAAATTTTGCCAAGAAAATCCTTATGGAAAGGGGAAAAATAAAACCAGATGTGCTGGACATTGTCACTATAATGACTGGCAGGATCTAATTCCCCTTTAAGGATCCTCTTAGCTTATGCAACATAAATGGTTCTGCTCAAACTTCTGCTACTGTTGTTATACCATGCAGAAAAAATAAAATTCCATCTAGAAATACAGTTGGATGGAATGTGAGTTATGCTAGGAATGAACAACCTATTTGGCTCCAGATGGCAATAAATTACAATGTTCTTTCAAACGGCGGGAAGGAAAGGTCCAGCATTGGAAAGCTACACATTTCTATTCAGAAGTATGTCGCTTTGGGTACGATGTATTCCTAGGAATATGGAGCTGTAGCCTCAGTAACCAAAGTGTTTATAACATTCGTAGAAAGAATTGGAATTTGTGAAGTGTCAGCCCTGGAGTGAAGGTGTCAGGGAATCCAGAAACAGTTGCAGCATTGTTCTGTTGTAGTGACAAAAACAATGATATTGTGGTGTCCAAATACCCCAAAGACAACAGATCCTACCTGATATTGATAGCTAAGCAGGGTCAGCCTTGGTTAGCACTTGGATGGGAGGCTGCTAAGGAATAATAATAATAATACTAGTAATAATAATAATAATAAAAACTTTATTTATATACTGCTCCATCTCCCCGAGGGGACTCAGAGCGGTTCCCAGGTAACATCACAAAACAAACAAAGTAAAAAACAACATAACCATAAGATTAACAAAACAAAATATAAGCATAAAAATTGTCACCATAACACACATATATTGAAATAGAATCATAGAGTTGGAAGAGACCTCATGGGCCATCCTGTCCAACCCCCTGCCAAGAAGCAGGAAAATTGCATCTAAAGCATCCCCGACAGATGGCCATCCAGCCTCTGTTTAAAAGTTTCCAAAGAAGGAGCTTCCACCACACTCCGGGCAGAGACTTCCACTGCTGAACAGCTCTCTCTCACAGCCAGGAAGTTCTTCCTAACGTTCAGGTGGAATCTCCTTGCCTGTAGTTTGATGCCTTTGTTCTGTGTCCAGGGCAGCAGAAAACAAACCTGCTCCCTCCGACCTATGACTTCCCCTCACCTCTTGATCCATGGCCTTCATCATGTCTCCTTTCAGCCTTCTCTTCTGCAGGCTGAACATGCCCAGCTCTTTAAGCCGCTCCTCATAGGGCTTGTTCTCCAGGCCCATTTTAGTCACTCTCCTCTGGAATAGAGGTGCTGTGGGCTATATTTTATTATTTATTTATTTATTTATTATTTACTTCACTTATATACCGCTGTTCTCAGCCCGAAGGCGACTCAAAGCGGTTCACAACAAATAAGAACAGCAAAAATTCAATGCTACAGTGTAAAAACAGTTAACAACCTAACATATTACATAATTAATAAACAATTACTACAGTAACCATTCACTATTCGCTATTGTCTCATCATCAGAAACATGATCCAGATTCGTCATCCATTATTCCGTTCCAATGTTCATTAACCAATCATTGCACTAATTATTCGAACGCCTGCTCAAACAGCCAGGTCTTCACTTTCCTGCGGAATACCATTAGAGATGGTGCTAGTCTAATGTCCGTAGGAAGGGCGTTCCACAGCCGAGGAGCCACCACCGAGAAGGCCCTATCTCTCGTCCCCGCCAGCCGTGCTTGAGAAGCAGGCGGGATCGAGAGCAGGGCCTCCCCAGAAGATCTCAAAGTCCTGGTGGGTTCATAGGCAGAGATGCGGTCGGATAGGTAGCTTGGGCCAGAACCGTTTAGGGCTTTAAAGGCCAACGCCAGCACTTTGAATTGAGCCCGGTAGCAAATCGGCAGCCAGTGGAGCTGGTGCAGCAGAGGAGTTGTATGCTCCCTGCGCTCCGCTCCTGTTAGTATCATGGCTGCCGAGCGTTGGACTAGTTGGAGCTTCTGAGCCGTCTTCAAAGGCAACCCCACGTAGAGAGCGTTGCAGTAGTCTAAACGGGATGTAACCAGAGCGTGGACTACCGTGGCCAAGTCAGACTTCCCAAGGTACGGGCGCAGCTGGCCACAAGCTTTAGCTGTGCAAATGCTCCCCTGGTCACCGCCGAAACCTGGGGTTCCAGGCTCAGCGAACCCAAGCTGCGAACCTTTCAGAGGAAGGAACTGGCAAAATCACTTCTTAGCATTTCTTGCTTAAGAAAACCTTAAGGAAATGTATAGAATTGTTTTAAGTCAACAGGTGACTTGAAGGCATGTACACACATGCTATTTTTGCGCAATTCTGTGCATGTTAAGAATAGTTTTCCTAGCTGCTTATTTATTTTTGCCACATTCTTCTTTGATTTATTTTCTGTTCTTTTGTACTTCAAGGATTGGGGGAGAATTCAGCCAGCAGGATTCTTGAAATATAAGTCAGTTACTGGACTGTATAAATAGTGTATGTACACATAATACGAGAGAAAAATGAGACAGGGTTGAGTCCATTAAGTAGGAATGACCAGGGAGCATTCATAATACAGCCCAACAAGAAACCTTTTTTTCTTGGCATCTTGCCTTTCAGACCTGTTTCTGGGGTTATTTGAGGTGCCGATTAAGAAAATTGCATTTTATAGACTGCATCAGCTCAAATTTCTTAGATATGGTCATCAATGAACCTTTGATAGCACGAGTTAGAATTACACTGCCACCAGTACATATAAAGTTAGGCCATAGTATGTAAGTTACCTGGACATACCATGGAATAAATGAAAGCAAGACAACTTATAAATGACCCATCTTTCAGAGTATCTATATAAATAAAAATGTAATGTTCGTTTGTGGGATTAACAGAACTCAAAAACCACTGGATGAATTGACACCAAATTTGGACACAAGACACCTAACAACCCAATGTATGTCCTTCATGCGAAAAAAAAAATGATTTTGTCATCTGGGAGTTGTAGTTGCTGGCTTTTATAGTTCTCCTACAATCAAAGAGCATTCTGAACCCCACCAATGATGGAATTGAACCAAACGTGGCACACAGGACTCCCATTACCAACAGAAAATACTTCAAGGGTTTGTTGGGCATTGACCTTAAGTTTGGAGTTGTAGTTCACCTA